GGACACATTTCTGTAGTAACTTCCATCGATCTCAAATTTGGGAGTGTCTGAGACGACGAGGTTGCCATTGTCTTTACAGATGGCCAAGTAGTAATCCTTGTTGGGAGATCTTATGCAAGTGTCCGAGTACATTTTGAAGCATTCTTCGAGACGATCAAAGACTTTGAAGCTGAAGTCATTCTGAAGCTTAACCCATGCATTGGCCCTGTGATCAAGAACTAGTTTATAGTTGGAAACTTGGCAGAGCGAATGCACTGATCGGGGAACATTTTCTCATTCACTCTCAGCTCAAACATTATCTTGAAAGCTCTCTCACACTGCAATATCCTCTTATAGAACACCAGGTTTTTATAGAGGGGAAAGGAATCCATGCCGGACAATCTCGAGGCAGGTTTGTAATAGTGACCAGTTTGGTGGTGGGCATTTACGAAATGAACGGTGGTCGAGTTCAAAGCTGGCAGATCAGGAAATCCAAGTGCAAGAACACTCGATTTCCTTGTATGAACTTGCAGAGGTAAAGCCTCACTCTGCCTTCAGATCAATATCAGTAAATCTCATTCCGCATTTCTGCACTTGTAATGGCTCAGATAGTGAGGATCCAGGAGCTCAAGGATGCGGAATTGCTCCCTGGGAAACAAATCTACTGTGCAAAGGCAGCGGCACAGGGCAATAACAAGGTGCTGTTGCTCGAAGGCTACAAAATGTGGAGGTCTACTACATGGTGCTTGCCAAAGATGGTGGCAAATCCCAAATCCAGGGAACTCCAACGGGCGAGCCCAAGGGGACGTACTACCTTACGGTGAATCCGCGAGGTCAGCTTGTGAGGACCAACGAGAGTGATCAGAAATCTCAGACCAAGGGCTCGCGCCTGGCTCAGAGAGATGACTATGTTCTTACTGTCTACGCCGACGGGACGCTGCTGGAAGAATGTGTGGGTGGCGAGCACGAGAGCGCTGCGAATGCGAGCGACGGACGATATCTGCAAAACGCGGAGTATAGATGACTACATCCTAGTTGCCATAGCTTAGAGGACAGATAAGAAGCTCATCCACACCGATTCCGGGACTGCTTGGATCAGTGATGGAACCAACAAGCAGAAGATTGATCTTCCATGGGTTTAAACACTTATGGCCTTGGCTTTATGCTATGATGCTGGTTGCTTTCTGCCTGGAAGCAGGCAGATCCATAGTAACTAAATGTTATGATAGTGTTGCTAAAGAGATCCACTGCGCAAACGTAGTGATCCAGCACAGATTCCACCCAGAAATCTCCGCTCGTCGATGTAAAACACTTCCAAGCATCGTGGAGGCTCCCGTTTGTGAAACAGGAAATTGACAATCCTGGCGATCGACCGCTCGATCCCGATGCCTGTGCTGGGCATATGCGGCCACCATAGCTGTCCATGCTTGTAATGACGAGCTCGATCAAAGGCTATGCTTGCGCTATATAACCAATGCCCATGACAACGACGGCGACCTCTCAGCCGAAAATGTATAGCAACTGCCAGATCGGCGGTCCCCGTCTTCGCGCGCCTCAAACAGAAACGCTTTCTCGTGGAATCTGGCGATCGCGGCGTGTGGCGGCGTGGTTGTTGTGGCGGTCTTGCCATGGGGCTTTACCGATCGGTGCTCCTCGAGGGCCAATTGCCGGACAATGTCACGTTCGTCAATCTTCTAGCCGGGCGCCGTAGATCGCTGGATCGATCCACGAGCACAGATCGACTGGCGAGGAAAGACACTACATGCCGAAGATGCAGCGGCCAAATCCAGTCAACTCCCTCCGCCAAGAAGTTCGAAGATCGCAAGAGGATCTTCAAACGCGAGCGCGAAGGTTCGTATTACCTCATGGTGAATGCGCGAGGCCTGCTTCGAGCATAAAACAACATTGATGTTTAAGCCCATAGGACATAGGTAACGCTCTCAGATGTCTTATCGCTCTCGTTGGTCCTCACAAGCAGATCCATAGTAACTAAATATAAAATCCAGTGTTTTATGCGCTCTAGATCTTTATAACATGTATTCGAGCTTGGTAAAATTGCAAAACCAATGTGGTCCAATTTTTCTCCTTAGCTGATTTCGTCATTTGGCAACGCGAGGATGGATCTCCTTTTCTTTTTTCTTTTCTTCTATTCTTGGATTCCTGCACAAGCGTTTTGATCTTGTTTCTGTAGTGATAAGAGATAAACTATGTGTTCTTGTAATGTGGACACAAATCGTTTTGATCGTCATTTCTCTTCCAGGCTTCAATGTAAGAATTTGCATTTCCTCAACGTTTTTGAGCTGACTGTTCGCTCCTTGAACTTGAGAAAAAAAAAAAAGGGCGAAAAAATTGTTCCATGTACATTGTAAAACTTCAATGCTAAACAAGCACCACAGTTGAAAGCTTTGACAGGATATTGGTACTGCGAGATTCTTTGTTGTCCAGCTAGAGTAGAGATCCTATTTGCATTTGCATTTATCTCCCCAGCCATTAGTTTTTTTCTTTGTGTGTGTGTCAACTTATCTTAGTTGATCGATTTGTGGTTGGGCTGTAGATGCTCCGCAAGCTCCACAAAGCCACAAGTGACAAGTACACCGATGGGGAGGAAAAAAACAACAAGTAAAAAGAAAAATCGTAAATCTTCTTCCCTGGCAATGGTGGAAGGTCCGTGACTGGTGAGACATAGCTCCTTTCGGTGAGTAGTTTCCACCCCAAAGAGGCAAGACAAGTTTTCAGGCGGGCGGTTCATGGCCCTATCAACGATATGAATCGCATGCCCAAAAACTTGTCTTGCCTCTCTGGGGTGGAAACTACTCACCGATTCATATCCTTGATAGGGCCATGAACCGCCAAGAAGCGCTTGGGCTTCTTGGTGGCCCAGGCAGGGGCGGCCATGGTGAATCCAAGGATGATTCTTGCGACGAGACACCACTCCAAGCTCCGCCGCTCCCGGTGCTCGAGGCGCTGCGAGATTCCTAGCTCCTGGCTGGGAGGGAGAAGTCGGCTCCTGATCGCTGGATCTCGGAGGAGGAGCTCCGAGTCCTCTTCGTGTCGCGAATATCGGGACAGCGAATTGCACTCATCTTCTCATCCACTCTCAAAGACTACATTGCTCATGACTCACTGCAAACAGCGAAAGGCACTCGACGCACGTGTTCAATAGCGACCAAGCTTTGGTGGTGGGCATTTTCGAAAGAAATGGTGGTGCTGGCAGAGATTCAGGAATCACCTCAAATCCAAAAGCAAGAACACTGAGTTCCTTTTCCTTGCACAGACCTGATTGTGATGATAATACAAAGGCTTGCACCTTCTTTGGGGCGCTTTCTATCGAAACCTGCTCACACAGACAGACACAGAGAGAGAGAGAGAGAGAGAGGTGTGCTGCGTTGTGGCGGTCAGCAGAATCATTCTTCTTGGTATAAAAGCTGAAACGAGATCAAAAAAGTAAATCTCATTCTTCCGAGTCAAAACAATTGTGCAATTGATCTTCCATGGGCTTAAATGCAAGCTTGATAGATTATATTGCTAATCTGGCTTTTGCTCAAAATGCACATCCTGGCAAATTAGTTATATTTTCCTCCAGTTTTAATGTCATGTAACAAAATTATCAAGATGCCATAACAATAGTTATTCATTATTCAAAATCAGATCAATCTTAAATGGCTAAATAACACTTGATTGGGATGAATAATCAAATATTTTGAATATTTGATATGTTTTAGCCCCTGAAGCTATTTGGCAGTTGTTTAAATTCAAATTGCATGGTTGTTTGCAAGCTATAATACGTTTACTTGTTCACCTACTAAATTTTAAAATGTTTATTTTACTGGAAGTAGGCAGATCCATAGTATCTAAATAAAAAATGCTAGTATTGATAATTTCTGCAAAGTAAAAATGCAAAAAACTCCTTAGGGTTTCCTCGGATTCTTGATCAGGCTGGGCTCCCTTTGTTTTGGACTGGTGCGTCGCAGTGGAATGTTTTTTCGTTTTCTAGCTCATTTGCCAGAGTCGTTTTGATCGTCATTTCTATTCCAGTCTTTCAGCGTAAGAATTTGCACTTCCTCGACGTTTTTGTGCCGATTGCTCGCCACACCTGGTTTCCAGACAAGAAAAAAAAGGAAAGAAAAAATGTTCCATCTACCATTGTAGAGATTGAGAGCACATCAATCCTGTCAAAGTTTTCTATTTCCTTCAAACTGAAAGCCACTAAAATCTTGTTACCTACAGAAGCAGCAGGGGGCACGGATTGGAGCTGTGATTCAAATCGCCAAAGGTGGTGCTTGTTTGGCATGTTGGTGCGGCGAGAATCTTTGTTGTCCAGGTAGAGTAGAGATTTTATTTGCATTTGCATTTATATCCCCGACCATTAGTTCGTTTTTCTTTCTCCTGTGTGTCAACTTATCCTAGTTGATCGATTTGTGGTTTGTTTTCTTGGACAGGGTGGGCCGTGGCAAGCTCGATAGAGACACAGTGACAGGCACACGGATGGGAAAAAAAAAAGGAAAATAGAAAAAGAAAAAATCTAAACTTGTTCCAAAGTGGTTGCCAAATCTTCTTCCCTTGCAATGGTTTTTGCTTTTGGAGGTCCGTGACTGGTGAGCTTTCCTCTCCTCTTCCTTTCTCTTTTATGTTGGATTTGATACGATTGGCTTCTCTTTGCCAAGGTCGGGTGGCCAGTGACAGCGCAAAATTACTAGACGAACTTTGGGATGGGAAAAAGGAGAAGGAGGAATCGAAAGGATGGAACTATGGCAGAAAACTAAAGGTAAGTTAAGTTTGCTTCTTCCATTGACTATAGCTTTCTCTCACGCGTGTGCTCTACAGGGAGAAAAAATGAATACCAAAAAGCAAAACGAGAGGAAAAAACTGTTTTTGGGGACCCAGCTCCATTGACCTCTTACAAACAGGCAAGTGAGGTATTTATATGTGTATTTCCGATTTTTTCTGGTTTTTTTTACTGAGCTTGGGGACATATACACCCCCCACTTTGGCTTCTTTTCTAAAAAAGGGCATCACATCACAGCACACGCACACACACAAGCATTCTCCATCCATCGCCTTTCTCCTTCTTGAATGGCACCAAACTGGTGTAAGTTGTGGGAGGCGAAGATCTTGCCTGGTGATTCCAAAAGCTTGTAGCGCCAGTCCCTCGCTCGAATTTAATTTGCTCTATCCGGGAAATCTTTTGTCCTTGGAGCCAAGGCGGGAGATCACACAAGCTTCAAAGGGTAAGAACTCATTATCTCATTTCTCACTCCATACACAATCTTTCTTCGTTTTTCCTCTTTTTTCCTTGTTGTGCTTCGTCCAGGAGCGGCAGGGAGAGGAATTCAAGCTTGGAAGCTCCGAGATCTACCATGGAAGATAAAGTGGACCGGGAATGCAGTATGTGTGGCGATATTGGATTCTCGTCGGAGCTGTTCCAGTGCAAGGAATGCAACTTTAGATGGCAGCACAGGTATTCCTCCATTATTCTGCTTTGGTCATTCGATTCCAGTGACAAGATTTCTCGCAACTCACACCAAACTTGCCTTGTGTTTCCCGTCCAGCTACTGCAGCAGACTTTATCCCAACATGGAGAGTGGCAATTGGGGAGAGTGGCCAGTGTGCGACTGGTGCTTTGGAGCTCTCGGGACAAAAGCAACACTAAAACCAAAGCGGAGTGCCAGCATCAAGCTGAGAAGAAGCTCCAGCTCCAACTACGAAGAACAGGTGTACCAGGCACAGAAAGGATCCAAGGAGGAGAACCACCATCGCTGGGATGCTCTCGATTATCTCCTGGAGGTGGCACACATGAGCTCCTTGTCTGATGGAGAAACGAGTATGAAGAGGCAGGCGTGCAGCAGCAAGAGAACTTGTGCCAGGAAATTAAGCTCGGCCTCTTCTTCTCCCAGCAGCAGCTTCAAGCGCCCCCAACAAAAGTGGGGATTTTTGAGCGAAAGGATCAAACTTGACAGCTCCAAGTCATCTCCTTCCAGCTCCAAGCCAGGTTCTCCCAAGCCTATTTGTAATCGCAGATACAAGTTTCTATCAGATGTGTGACTAGCCTCTATCAGATCGAGGAGGGGACAAAGGAAAAACCACAAGATTTCGCGAAGGTGGTGTTTCTAGGATCAGAGATGAAAAGCTCGCATGAGCTTGTGGGTTCTTACATAAAGATAATACTATGAAGAGGCTAGCTCGGACTTTGATGCTAAAGATCTTTGTTGGTGTGTTGGGTCTACTGGCTTACGTAAACATCTGCACAATCAATTCAATCAGGCTTGCCAGGAACATCAAGTCCATTGTTTCCAAAGGGCAAGTTTGACATGGTTTTAGCACATAATGGGGGAAATTTTCTCCGCTGCTTTGTCTGGCACCTTGCTAAAAGGAAAATAAAAAATCTACATCTTTTTAGTATTATACGAGCAATATCTATATCTTATAGTTCTTGCTTGCGTGAACCATTTGTGTTAAGCAACAGCTACATTGGATATAAAGTGTACGATATTTAAAAAAATAAATTTATGGGTGGGGTGGCGTACAACACTGAAAGGAAATCCAAAGAGTGGATCATATCATTTAGTTGGCTGGCTTCGCAATACTTTGGTAATCGAAAGAAAATGTTTGGTCTCTGAAAGTTCTTTACATTTTATACTTTTATACTTTTCATTTTTCAATTATTAATATGCTCCTTGGATTCTCGACGAATGTGGACGAGAGACGGCTGATTTGCCAAAGCTGGAAAGCTTTCTTACATCAATGGTGTTTTTCTTTGTTCCTCTGTAATAGAGCAACTTGGGCATGGGGAATCTCCTGCAGATTCAAGGTGAGTCCACCACAATCCAAAACTCATCCATTGTGCCAGTCAAGCTTCTTGCTGCGAAACGCGTTTGGCACTCGCTTCCCATCGAGATTGATCTCAAACCGGGCAAGAATGTGAGCGTTCGTCGCGGCTATGGACCTCTCGAGCTGGCAGTAATCTCGACTGAATCGAATGAAAAATCTAGAAAGCTATTGAGGATCTCGTGATAGAGCTAGAAGATCTAAGAAAGAGCAAAAACATTGCAATCACCGGCAAGAAAAATCACCTCCGCTTAAAAATGGAGCGAAGAACCAAGTACAAATATATAATCTAGTCAACGCTATTCTAGTCAAAGTATTTACCAAACTCTAGTCAAACGCTATGAATGCTTTCCAGGAATCTTGGAAGGAGGAGTGGCGCCGTAGCGAGGGATTTGGCCGAGAGGCTGGGGCCCGAGAGCAGCAGGGACGAACTCGTGCTCGCTCTAAACCATTGCGCGTCCGCGGGGGATCTCGAGCAGGGCAGACAAATCCACGCCAAGATCACGCAGCGCCGGCTGCGATCCAGCTCCTTCCTCGCCAATCACTTGATCAAAATGTATGGCGACTGCGGCGACGCCACATCCGCGCTCGCCGTCTTCGCGCGCCTCAAGCGGAGGAACGTTTTCTCGTGGAATCTGGCGATCGCGGCGTGTGGCGGCGAGGATCTCTCCATGGGGCTTTACCGATCGATGCTCCTCGAGGGGCAATTGCCGGACAACATCACCTTCGTCAATCTTATAGCCGGGCGCAGTAGATCGCTGGAAGAGGGCAAAGTCATCCACGAGCACGCAGTTGAGAGTGGATCGATCGCGGACGTGGTAGTGGCTACCGCGATGGTGAGTCTCTATGGGCGATTGGATCAAATTGCTGAGGCAAAGAAAATCTTTGATGCAATGCCGGAGAAGAACCAAGTTTCCTGGACCGCGATGATCACAGCATATGCCCGGAACGGGTATCGCAGCGAAGCATCGATCGAGCTCTACTTCCAGATGACCAGGATTCACGCGCTTGATCCCGATCGCGTGACTTTCATTGCGCTCCTCGAGTCTTGCACGTCGGGATCGCTGGTGCTGCGCGATGGAGCAGTGATCGAGCAAGAGATCATCGCTCGTGGCCTTGACGGCGAACCCTCCATAGCCGTCGCGCTCGTCACAATGTTTGCTCGATGCGGAGGCATTGATAGCGCGAGGATAGCCTTTGATCGAGCTTGCCATTGCAAGAACATTGGCTCCGCGGCGTGGACGGCTATGGTAGCCGCATATGCCCAGCACGGGCATCTGGAGCTAGCGGTGGAGATTCACCGTCTCATGGCGCTCGACGGCCAGGATTGCGATTCCGTCACCTTTGTCAATCTCCTATTTGCTTGCAGCCACGCCGGGAGGCTCCACGACGCTTGGAAGTGCTTTGCATCGATGAGTGGAGATTTCTGGGTGGAATCTGTGCTGGATCACTACGTTTGCGTGGTGGATCTCCTTGGGCGATTAGGGAAGCTGGAAGAGGCTGAGGATCTAGCGACCAACATGCCATTCGAGCCCGTGGAATCGGTGTGGATGAGCTTCTTATCCGCGATTCTATGTTCTCTTGAATAGCACATGCATTTCTCAACCCTTTTATTCTATATTTTCTCAACCCTTTTATTCTATATTTTGCGATCCTATGAAAACTTAGGTCAAGCGAAGCATGGTAAAGTCAAAGAGAAAGAATCCGACGAAGCAAAGCAAGCAGAGGAAGCAAAGCTATGGCAAAAACGACGTAGTAATGTGCCCATTCGACGCTGATCACGTAAGAAGATTCGAGTTAGATACCGAGTACGAGCCGAGAGGTTTGCCACCAGGTGTGTACCCATGCCCTAGGTGTGGATCTTACAAGACTCGCTTCGATCACTATAACAACCGAGATGGCGGGAACTTCAAGTATGGAAACAAAAAATCGCCAATGTTCGCGTGTAAAAATGGCTGCGGCAAAAGGTTTAAGGTAACTAATCGCTACTGGGAGAAGTATGGGCCAGATGGGAAACCCACTCAAACGTCGGAAAATGGTGGTGAAGACCTGGTTGACACAAGTTTGCCACAAATTGGAATGGTGTTGGAAAATGGTGGCGACGACTTTAGTTTGCCACAAATCGGAATCGATGACACTGCTGTTTGCGTGAGCAACACCCAATTTAAACAAACTAGCATGGAGATCGACGCTGACAATGGTGACAATGGTCGTTGCATGGAACGGACTGTAAGTTACGACGTGGAGGAGATTGATCAAGGAGCAAGCATGAAAGATGGCGAAGAGGGTTATACGTCTGTGAATGACAGTCCGATTGATTGGGATGTTGCTGGGTTTGTGAGGAAGATGCAAGAAACTTACGAGGAATACGTGAATTCTGGAGAGATCGATCCTTGCGAGGAGCTTCTCATGCCAAAGTCTTGTAATTCCCCCGAGGTGGTCCAGATCTTCACGGGGACCTCTGGCCATCGGGTGTTTTGTGCAATGTAAAGGAGTGTAAATTCTTGCGAAAATTAGCATTGAAGGCTACAGAAAAGAAGAGAACACTCAAGGTCCAGAACTGCCAGCAGTTCTAAGCCCAATAGTCCGTAATCTATATCTATACTGAGGAGCTTCTTCTTCATCCTCGTCACTCTGATCGTCATCGCCAATGTTGTTCCACTTGGAGTAGTCTATGGTGGAGTGTGCTTTGGGCTTTGAAACAGCTCCGCAGCCACTTTTCTTCTTCTCGGCCTCTTCAAGTTCCTTGTGTTGTTCATTTGGAAGAACAGTGGTCGGCGAGAAGGAATGCAAAGCTTCCGCCGCTGGCGACGATGGACACTCCTCCTCGCATTCTGGAATGGGAGCGAGCGTCTGTTCGTGAAAAATCATAAACTCGTCACAAGGAAACTGGATGAAAGGCTAAAGATCTCTCTCTTTTCCCCCTGTTTCTTGCGTACCATTTGTGTTCTTAAGCGGGCCTCCAGTTCCCTATACGCAGGAACTTTTGGATTGATCTCAAGAAGCCTGGTTACATCGAATAGTGCTGATTGGTACTCTTTCAAAGCAATTAGTGTTTGAGCTCGCAGCATCAAAACGCTTGTGTGGTTGCAGTCCATTGCCAACACTGCTCCACATTCCTCAGCTGCCTGTATACCAAAAAGACATAGAAAAACTAGAAAAAAAGAGAAAAGAAAAGAAAAAAGAGGGAAACATTAGAACTTACCTCTCTGAATCGGTGGAGTTTCAAATAACATGCAGCTCTATTGCTATAGAGAGCAATCTTGTGAGCAAGCGATGTTGTTGATTCCAGCATAGCTGTGTAAAGCTCAAGGGCTTTTTCAAATTGTCCATCCCTATACCTTTGATGCACTGACTCAACTGTTTCCATAGCTGTGGCAACAGTGGCGGCAGCTACCCGCCACAACTAATCGATCGATCGATCCCAAGAGGAAGATCCGCCAAAACCCTAGACAGGAACGCCAAACATCACTCCCAATTTGAATGCTTCACCTGGGCGGGATAAAATAATAATTCTATTATTATTACAAACAAACGAGGCCCTCTCACAGCCGTCGATCCTGGGCTCGTCCAGCCGTCAGATTCCGGCCTGGAATGACCAGTTGACGAACATGAGAGCCAAGTGCTGCTCGTCCACTCTCCACACTAGTCCACGCTCGTAGCACACTCTTTTTCCCTTGCTCGTTTGAGCGATTCCCTCTGGAAGCTCGCCATTTTCCTGTAAGAACATCAAGTTTGATGATGGTTAGCTAGAAGCTTGATAGAACGGTAGAAGCTTACCTCCCGGAGTAGTTTTGCTAGCTCGCTGTCGAGACCATAGCCGATAGTCCTCTCCCAGGATACTGTTTGAAGCTCTTCGATTTTGGTTTCCAGCATTTGTAAGCCAGCTTGGTTGGCGATCACAAATTCTGGTGTAGCCTGTGATTGATAGAATGGACAACCTTAGAGTGGAAACTTTTCCAAGGGAAAGAAGAACTTGCCTTTAGAGAGCAGCATATAATCGCTGCGGCGTAGTGCCAGAAGAGCATCACGATAGCGTCCTTGTCAGTGAAGTTGCGAGGTATGATATCGACTCCATGACTGACACTGCATCAACAAACTATATAGGTGTCTCTTCAGCTATGAGAAAAAGATAGAACTTATCGAGAAACAGCAAGGTACGATCATAGTACCTGTAGCTTTGTAGAATCTGATGGATGAGCGAAGCTCCTTTGGATGACACGAAGGGAGCGTCAGCCGAGGAAGATCCGAGAGACGACGCAGCGAGCGAGAGAGTGATGCGTTGGACAAAGTCCATAACGTTTCGGATGTAATTGCGGGCCATCTCTGCAACGGTGTCACGAGTTCCAACCTCGTACATGAACTGGAATGCGATGGTTAGGATGGAGCGGGCGAACTTGTGGTTCTTTCGCTTGCCGCTTCTCAACTCTTCGGAATCGGATTGACGCTTGACGATGTCGTCCTGCACACTTCTTTCGTGAAAACAAGAAATGAGTTAAATGAGCTTGGACTTACCATGTCATCGCAAAGAGGAAGGACACGGAATCCTGACGACAGAAGCGGCATATCATCGGAAAGATTGGCATCGACTGGAGCAAAGATGAGTTGCGAGCAACCATCGATGTCTTCGTCTTCAATTCCACTACATAACTTTGGATAGAGAAACATAACTGTGTGAGGAGTGGTAACAAACATACTGAAAAATACCTGTAGCAGATAAATTTCCCTGGAAAGTATTGTTCCATCTTCTGCGGAATAATGTCCTTCCAAAATCACTGCCTCCAAAAACTAAAAGAGTTTCCACTCAACTTGATAGTACTAAAGAATAGTGGGCAAGTAGCTTACATCTTCCTTTGCTGTGTGAAAAAGTGGAACGTGTGCTTGCCTTTTCCCATGACTTCTGGATGCAGCATCCTGCTGGAAAAAATCCATATTGCATCCCCACTCTGACCGGTGGTCCCTTAAAAATCGTATGAGATACGAAGGATGAACATTCTGGGACCAGAAAAAGAAAAAGAAGAAAGAAAACAAAAACCAGCCAAATAGAAGTAAGAAGAAAGTAAGAAATCGCGAGTAAACGGTTATGCGTCAAATTTACCTGAAGAAGCATGGATGCCTTGGCACACAATACTCCAGCCAGACTAGACAGCCTATCAGACTGAAACTTTGAAAGGCTAAAGTTTATCGTGGCATTGCAGCTGACAGCTACATTGTCCAAGCCATCGCCACCCATAGTGCACCATCCATCGTCTGGAAATCCATTTACAGCGTCATTGAAGCCTCTGTCTCAACAAGAAAAACAAAGAAGTCCCATAAAGAAAGAAAGAATGAAAAGAAACACAAAATGACAGACCTTGCCATGCGCCGGCTGAGAGATCTCAGCACGGAAGGCTGCTGACCGCCACCGACAACAATTTCGCCAATTTCCTCTTGAGCAAGATGCTTTAAGAACCGCAGTGCCTACAGTATTGTGTATGGGATTTAGCACTTCGAAGTTAGAAAAAAAAAAACTTGATTACCTTGACAGTCATCCTCTGTGCAAGGAGAGACGAGGACCTATACAAAGGACGCGTAAGAACCTCAGAGACACTAGAAGGCTGCGAAAAAAAAAAGAAAAGAGAAAAAGACGAAACTTTACTTTTAGATAATGCGAGTCATTAGCCAGTACCTTTAGATCCAAGTGGTCAATAATGTGTACAATGCAGCTCCCACCTTCGCAAGGACGAACCAGATAGCCACTCGTAAGCATCTCCGCGCGTACAAAGTACTGCGTGGATGGAACGTAGGATAGACATTCTGCATCACTTATGGAGCGCTCACAGACCTGTACAGCGGAAAGAATTTCTTTTTCTTTCTATACAAAGAGACAAAAAGGCTGTAGTAATTACCACAAGGTTTCCATCTTCCAAGGACGTGGTCAATCTCAAGGTGCAAAAATCACGAGGAGGAGCAAGCGTCGTAGGAGCATAAAGCTTCGCAAAGAAACAAAAGTAAAACCACTCACAAAGTTAGACTTTGCTCTGTACCTGCGTGTGCATAATCTCCATTGTTGATCCATTCTCGGAAGAGCATATATGGATAACATCCGAGCGTCGGCAGTCCCAGAGCCAAGAGGTCTTATCTTTTAAAACCTCCACAATCTAGATGCCAGAGAAAAAGTCGCGCCTTATTAAACAGAGAAAAGCAAAAGAAACACTCCACTCACTTACTCGAGTAGCCTCCAGTGCAACCAAACCCAGTGCTCTTGCTGCAATACCATCACATCCGTGTGAAATTGCTACGATGCCAAAAGAATCAGGACCAGGCTGCAAGATCCACATGAGGAACTAGAAAAAAACTAGAAAAGGTTAAAAAGATCAACCTTCATCCCGAGCAACTGGATCCAGTCAACAGCAGTACCTGTGGCTTTCGCAAGAAAGTCAGCCAGCGACTGCTCTGCCAATGCCGATAATCTGGAAAAAAAACACCAGGAAAGCGACAATGAGCAACAAGCCAAACGAGGAGATATCGTGTAAAGCTAAAGAAGTACTAAAACTAACCCGACAGGACCATGGTCGAGAGAAAGATGCTGTATGTTTGGAAGTTCGGAGGTTCCAGCAATCTCGGAACTCCCCGCAGCAAGAGCGCCTCCTACCTGTAAACTTGCAAGATCAACAAAGAACACAAGAACAATACTTGCAGCATACTTGCGATGCTTCCATCGGCGGCCTCTGGCTGCTGCAATCTCCATAGAGATGCTTCCTCAGCGTGTGCTTTTGCAGTGTAAGCTGCGTGGATTGCTTCGCAAGGTGGTCATTGTTCTCCACAAGGATCTTGTTCAAAGCAGTGAGCTTGGAGTTGAGACCGTGGAGGCGGCTGGTTTCCTTCCTTTGCTTCTCTCGACATCTGCACAGCATCAAAGAAGGAAACCAAGAAGAATAAAAACCAAGTGTACAAGAAGAACAGAAGAACTTTGATCTTCCTTACCGCCGGTTTTGGAACCAAACTTTGAGCTGCTTGGGGGCGATGTTTGCGAGAATGGGAGCTTCTTTCATGAGCTGCTGGCGGCGCAGAGAGCTGGGCTTGGGGCACTCATTGTAAACAAGCTCCAAGATCTCCAGCTGCTCGTTAGTGTACCGGGCGTACTTATTCTGCGGATCCATACAAACTTCTCTCGTCCCTAGAAGCCTACCTCAAGCGCCTACATTGGAGTGCTGCCATCGCCAATCGATCAAAAGGCGAGAAAAAAAAAAAGCGGAGCACGCATCAAATCGCGTCGAAAATGTGAGCGAGCACTCCTCTCAAACCCTAATCATAAGAGGAGTTTTGAATTTGTGACCACAAGCATTTGTGCCAGTGGCGCGCTCTAGTGGGACGCGTGGCAGCTCGTTGTTGGAGAGTGGGTCCCTATCGGCGGCGCCGCCAGCGGCGGAGCTTGTCGGGCGGGCAGAGGCAAAAAGACTGCGGTGTCTTGCCCGCGGCGAACGGGAGGGCGCCACGTAGCGCACGCGGCTATTGGCTGCTGGGCCATCGCATTGGCATCAATCAAACTTGAGCTTTACAACTCAGAGGACGGGCGAACAGTAATAGCAATCACCAAATTCTTGGATTGGGAATTTGGAGTGATTGGATTTTATCTATTCGTTTCCTTCTTCCAAGTGATTACTTATTACCTTGAAAGCGAAGCCATGAATTATGGTTAATGATTTTGGCCGATCGATCAAAAGAGAGACAAAGAAGAACAAGGTACAAAGATCAAGCGACCGGGCACGAAGAAAAAACCGCTGTTTCCGTTGTTTCTTGATGGTCAAAGTTATCATTTCATGGTGGTCATGATCTCCATTTTTTTTGTTTCATGGAAAGAGAGAAAGTAAACTTCGATTCTTTGCACCAGCCGAGCAAAAAAACTCGCGGCCGATCGAATCGGAGGATGATTTTAGCATGTACATCAAAGAACAAAACCAAAAAAAAAAGCCAAAACGAAGCTCGAAAGTCAAGAGAGAGTGAGAGCTTTCTCTTTTTTCGTTTCTTTTTTTTCTTCTCGTTTACCGGGTAGCCAGAAGCCAAAACGCGAAGAAGAACGATGGCGAGACCATGAGCCAAGTGAGGAACGTCATGGCAGCGGCAGTCTCGTACTTGGCGCACTGATTCCCGCAAGCTTTGAGGTCTCGATCGATGAGAACTGCGATTCCAGACGATGCACAGGCAGCAGCGAAAGTTAGAGTCGCAGTAATCTGGAAGGAAAAAAAAGAGAAAAGAACGATCAAAAACTCAAGAACAAGGAAAGATCTACGTGAACTTTTAAAAACTTTTCTTTACCCAGTCGCCGACCACGCAAAGGCTGAGAAACACGGAGTTTCGCAGGCTGGTGCGCTTGAGCAGGACGGAGAGATCCACGAGAGCGAGCGTTAAACTCCACACGAACTGTAGAACCATGGAAGCGACGAGATAGCTGCTCAAAAGAAAAGACCAAACAACCGAAGATCAAAACACTCCATCCAGCCCAAACTTTGGGAAGAACCAACTTGGAACTTTAGAGCGCTTACCAGAAGGCGGTGATGGTGGAGAAATCCTTGACGCGGATCATGACGCTGAAGGCGCAGGCGGCGAATCCAACTTGGCCGACGCGCAATGCGAGTCCTCCAACAGTGCCGGGCATGCCCTGGAGCTCCTTAATCCTCATCCGGTGCTGTGGAAGATTGGCACCCCCGCCAGGATATATCCCAAACGGATGCACCGCGGTGTGGCTAGCATCCATCGCTCGGCCTGCGCGAACCAATCGCGCCGCGCCCCTGGCACTCGCTAGCTACCCGAGTGTGTGCCCAATACCTGGCGGGGAAGAGCGAATGGAATGCGCGCCGCCAGCGCCGGTGGAGCGATCTGTGCGTGGCGACACCCCTCACGACGAGTGCGATTCACGGCTCGAGTCCAACGCACCACGCCCTGTCGTTTACGGGTTCGAATCCGGGCAGCTTTGGAATTTTAGTTGCCCTAGTATAAAACTAGAAATTTCCCTGGGCGGTTGACAGAGCTTACACATCAGCGCCTTTTCTCCATGCCGGATCTTTCCTCCTCTCTAGCACTCGTTGCCACCAAGGTCACAGTGTAATCCAAAGGCTGCACATCGCACTCAGGGTTTTCCTCCTGGGGGACCCCAGCAAAGTTTCCCCTTGAAATCCACACCTGGAAGAAGAAAATAAAACTCTTGCAAGAAAAGTCTAGTATACCTTGGCCTGTACATTCCTGAAGCTGAGCTTCTATTGGACAATGCATGGGCAGAGCTAGCTCAGAGACGCAACTGATTAAGCTGGAGCAACTCATGAACCGAATCAGTCGATGAAGCGAATTCCCGTCACGAATTCCTGCCGCTTGTCCTTGCATTCCAGGCCCAGCTTAGCTATGAGCATCATTTGAGCCGCTGGAGACGCAATACCAGCTGCCACAACCCATGTCTATCCCGAAAATGAACTTATGATTGTTGGGCCAGCTTTAACAATGGGGATTTTCTGTCACGGCAAAAGAAGACTACTTCGAAAGCTTGAAAGTTTCAAGAGAACAACTGCTTGTACCAGTAACCCTTCGTTAAGAGACATGATGCAAAGTCCTTTAGATCGAATGGCCTCATCTTCGCACCTTGCTCTTTTAGAATACGCACCACCTGCGAAACAGGAGGAAGAGCTTTTTGCCAAACGCTTTGCTGAACATGTACCTCCAACTCTGCATCCTCACCACAAAATTTGCCATCTGGCTGCAAATAAGCCAATGTTGTGCCACTCCCGACGGCATCACAACCCCAGCCAGCCGATGATCTCGAGCTGGCTCTCGGGGAGATGGGTTGACGGGCCTCTCAGGCCAGGCCCAGCAGCGTGGCTCCAATCCGGACCCTTGACGCTGATGATCGTGTGAGTGCACGCAGTAGAACTCCCCCAAAACATTCATAAACTCTTTCCCACAAACAAAATGAACCCACTAGATCATACTTACTTTTCTTATTAAATTTATACCAAAAACAGAAAACTAAAAGGTAAAAATAAAAAACTTATCATAGAAATTCAATGTGAACACATGCTCTGTATAAATTTTTCAACCCATGTTATAAGAATAAACTAAGTTGTTTGGATTTATAATTAGATTTTAACCTAATTGAACATAGATTGAGTGAAACAATATTCTTAATATTCTTATTATATTATTTCTTCATTTTTGTTAACTATATAAAATAATATTAATTTTTTATTTAAGACAGATAACTAATAATTTCTTAGAAGCTCATAAGTATTTTTATGTCAACAACTTTTCCGACTAGTTAAGCAAAACCCAAAACCCAAAACCCAAAACTCAAAATTCTGCTATAAATTGTTATTAAGTTCTTATTATATACCCATATATATATATATATATATATATATATATATATATATATATATATATATATATATGAATATAAATTTCATTTAACATTATAAATATTTTATTAATTAAGTTCTGGCCCTTATGACCCCACTGACACTCCATCACCAAACAAATTTTTATGACCAAAAAACTAAAAAGTTTAAAAATTAAGCATCCTAATAAAAAAATTGAAATGTAATCTATTTATAAATCTGTCAAAACCATTTAAATATTGTAATATTTTAAATTTAAAACAACTCTAAATTTATTCAATAATACTGTCAATATAACATTTACAAAACATTTTTAAAAACAGTTACATTTAAATTGCATAAATAATAAACACATTTAGTTATCATACAATTATATTGACATCACTTATCTATTAACTCTTCAAAATTTAACAATAAACATAAATATTAAACCTTGAAAAATATGTATTTGCAAATAAAACTTTAAATATTCCTAAACTATGTGAACTAAAAGGAATAAAAATCTATCTTCATATAATGTTTTTACATTAAAATAAGTAATGAACTATCTAGTTGTAGTGATATTTTAGAAAAATCAGTCATGACATTATGCTGGTGATCAATGAAATTTGTAGAAATTTTTAGATTATGGGGTTTATGAATCCCAATATTAATTTGAATTATTTTTAATAATTTATAAGAATGAAATTATTTGTGAGTGCATGGAATATGGAAATATAATTCAAAAATGTGCATATCAATTAATCCAAAAACCCTAGTATATATACAAAAGCAAATGATCCAAATTAAAACTAATTTGACAGTTACCAAAATCCCACTATACTAATATTAGTATATGGAATTGTAGTTATTTGGACCTCATGCCATCCTCTCCTCTTGGAATGATGGAAAACTGTTAAAGTTTTTTTGTGGATGAGTTGGGATCTAGAGGAACATTAGGAGGAGGCATTGGTGAATTTATAAGTGGTGTTAATTGTTGAGTAAAGAGCCCCTCAGATAAACAAGTGTAGACTATACTTGAGTTCACAAGTTGAAGAATCGAGCTTGTAAGTTGAGCTCAAGTTTCAATTATAATTTAATACAAACATTATAAATTTTAAAATATTAAAGTTATGGCAAATTTAATAATTTCATAACTCTATACAGATTATATAGATAAAAATGTTCTAAAAGACACTTCTTGTTCTAACATTGTAAAGTCGAAGATAGACTTATTCGCATCTTGCCAAAACTGGAACAAGTCTTAACAAGATGTTGTGGAGGAACCTCCTAACAGAACATGCTCCTGAATATCTAGAAGAGAGTGTCAAAGTCTTCTTTCTCCTCTACCTCAAGTGCAAGTACCCATCATCATGTACGGTTATGTATCAATTGAGTGAATGCCTCATGCTTGGTTACATCGTCTATAATCTTATTCCTAGCACAGTAAAAATAGAAGGTTACAAGGTGATCCTCCACTAAAATCCCCATTCCTGGCTCAAAGAAGGGGAGCTCAAGACCATGTTGCAATACATGTACTGTCAGCATGGGTGGTGGAAGTGGAGGAGGTCGCTATGCTATCCTTTGTTGATTTGTAGCTATTAGTTAGTACTTAGGATCTTTAGGAGTGTCTCTTAGCATCTCTGGAAGTGATAGATTTGCATTTTGAGGAAAAATCCAAGGCAAGGATGCACTATGCTAATATGCTAACTTGGTATTTACAGCAGATGGTGAATCCTCACTGTCCAACAAAGCTGTGTGATAATCTACCTCTCATCGAAGTTTAAAGAACTTTTCATAAATATGGGGAGCCAAAAAAAAACCAAGAACTAATCATTTTTCTATATTCTTTGTGTGTACAAGCATGAAATACACAAAGTGTAGCAAATGTCCAATCATGGGATAAATCTAGAGGGAACCCCAAGCAAAAATAAACTACTTGTGAATGTAAAGTACTTGCTATATGCTCTAGGACACACAAGAAAATGTCCAAAAATACCTCAACACTTTCTCTATACTCAAGAAGTTGTGGAAATGACCTCCTCTTGACCAAATGCTACTCAAATAGCAAAGAAACAGACAAATTGCAAAAGGTATTCATTCACAAACACCCCTTTAAGCTCTGAAACAAGTTTATAACAAAAAATTTCATGGCAAAATCAATGAAAAAATAAAATCCTTTCTCACAACCCAAACAAGAAAACATCTTGGTAAAAAATATGCTCAAACTTGAGATCTAGAGCATTAAAATTCATGAGACCAGATGCAAATGAAGTTTAAGACTATGTAAAAACTTTTTCTAGAAGTAACCTTCACAAAAAACTCAAAGAAATTCCTTCACTTCTCTCAATCATGACAAAGAAAAATTCAATAAATCTCGTAGTATAAAATGTCAGGAATCCCTCAATTCTTGCCACATTCCTGACTCTCGCCAGATTCCTGACTTGCAGACCACATTCCTAACTCTCGAGACACTTCCCTATTCCTGACTCTTGAGACACTTCCCTATTCCTGACTCTCGAGACACTTTCCGATTCCTGAGTCTCGAGCCATATTCTTGATGATGATGATGTGGCGCCTCCTTGACCTCAGCTATATTTAGGCCGTCCTCGATCCAAGAATGGTGGAGCTTCGTCAACCTATAGTATATATAGGTTAGCCTTGTTCCATTTCTCCACAATCTAAATCAACGCCAGTCTAAGGCCTCTTCTTTGTTTCCATTAGCTTTTTCTCTTTGTCTTTTTGCATTTTCCAGTCTTGATCTTGTCGGGGGTCTTGACAGTTTGATTCAGATTGTGTTTTTTTGTTTTTTGATTTAGCTCGTTTTGATTGTTTGATTACCTTTGCCTTTTTTTCCCCCTTGCCGATGGAGTCTCCAAGTCATCCTGATTTCTTTGCTGAAGTCCTTGCAAAAATCCAGTCTGAGAATACCGAGTTGAAGGCGACCCTTCTTCGCATGCAGCAAGAACTTGCTTCACTTTCGGCTCAAGGATCCAACAAAGTTCCTGAACCAAAGGTGAGTTTCCCGGCGAAATTTTCAGGCAAGCGTTCGGAGCTTCGCAGATTCCTGAACCAGATGGAGTTGATCTTTGCACTTCAACATCGGCGGTACCCCACTCCCGAGTCTCAAATCGGCGCGATTGGGACGTTGCTCAAAGGTGCAGCCTTGTCATGGTTTTCTCCTCTTCTGGAGAAGAGCATGAAAGGGGTCGTGGTTCCGGAGCTGATGGATCTTCAATTGTTCAAAGAGAAGCTCGAAGCATGTTTTGGCGAGACGGATCGGGTTCGGGCTGCTACCACAAAGATGAGACGTCTCTCTCAGGGGTCTCGTCCTGCCTTGATCTACGCTGCAGAGTTCCAACTCCTTGCTTTGGACACTCAGTGGGATGAGCGGGCCCTGATTGACCAATTTCGTTTCGGCCTCAACAACGGTGTCAAGGATTTGTTGCTCACCATGGAGGATCCCAAGGACTTGTCGGACGCCATCAACAAAGCTGTTCGATGTGACAATCGTCTCTTTGAACGTCGTCAGGAAAAACGCTGCGCCGCTGTTTTTCCGTCCCAGACTCAGGAATCCCAGCTTGAGTCTTCGGGGCAT